TATAAATAATATAAGTTCTTTGTGATTCATGTTTGTGTTAAGACATGGAGCGTATCATTCTATTTATCATTACCATATGTTTATAATAATTTGCATACATATAAACTTTAACATTGACCACGATGCGATCGCTGTTCAGCACATAAAACAAATCTAATGCAGACACCGTGCGTAGTCGATAAAGATGTGTTTCACCCTAAACGCTTTTGGGTGGCATGCTGTACATGTAATTACCAAATGAAAAATCATTATAAGATTATTATAAGATTATTACTTCAATGCCAAAACAGTTGTACATACGTCTTTTTCTATTCTACTTCATATTTACTTGGGTGTTTATACGAACCCCGACGACTCAATGAATAATTAATTAATTAATCACAATATACAATGCCCTATAACACTCACCAGTATCACATGATGGCCCGGTCCATCCATCCATACATATACAGTCATAGGTAGATTCCATTGTAATGCATGTACCCCCATTGTCACAAGGGAAGGACGAACACGGATCGTTTGGTACAACTAAATACATATTTACAGAGAACAGTGACAACAAGCAATGTACAATATAATAAAAGTGGTATATAAATAAAAGATATAGTACATATTATTTGATAATCTCATCGAATAAAGACCTGTAAATTTACGGACAGGTAATGAACTATAACTATAACATAGCTTATCACTGTAAATTTGTCCATAATTAAACAATACGAGGTTATACACTAGTAATATTTAACAAGGTACATACAATTACATATTTGATAATTAAACACTTCCATATAGCTCAGTGGTAATGTAAATATATCTCACCAGAATACTAATGCTTATAATACAGGTCTAGGTGATTTACCTTGTTCACAGTTCTTTCCCTGATAACCCTGTGGACATATACACGCGTAGATAATACCACTGCTGTCAGAAATACATTTACCCCGGTTTTCACAGGGCGATGACAAACAAGGAGGTGACACCTCGTCAGCTGCAAGCAAAATATACGGGTCGAGATGTTTCAATACTATACGACCAGTTGCATTACACACGAACAAAGTACAAGAAAATATTAATTAATTTGTTAAGGTAGCAGAATTTTGAAACAAAAAACTTGTCCATGAAACACTTTATGAGCAGTATCGTATAAACTAGTAAAATTGCAACTTTGACTGGACGATTTTGTTGTTGATGCAAATAAAGAATAGTACGGTATTTCTATGAAATGCAATTTTCAATGCTAGTAGTACTTACGTATTTGACACTGCTGTCCAGTCCAGTCGTCGGTACATATACATTCGTAGGACGATCCCGATTCAATACATGAGCCACCATTTTGACAAGGATAATTATCAGGAGAGCAAGGATCTTCAGTTGGAGGTATAACTGTTTGAATAATATTTATACATACACATTACGACATGAAACACAATAATTCAAACTCACGATTACGGAAATCACCTTGCCACTACAGGAAAACAGGCTACCTACCACTCCATGCCCACCGAGAAAATGACAGTAATAGGTAGAACAGTGACAGTGTTTATTTAATTAATGTTTTTCATAAAATAATTTAAAAACATTTTGCTCTAATACATTAATAATGCATTAACTAGTGTTACAGTGAATCTTAAAATCGTAGTAGTTTTTACCTGTCTGACATCTGTCTCCAGTTATTCCTTGTGGACAAATGCAGTCATATTGATTGTTGCCTAATGTTATACACGTACCACCGTTCTCGCATGGAGAATTGCTCGGTGAACATGGATCATCGGCTGTGAGATAAAAATATGAAGCATTGTAATGACATGTTACAACCAGTTGCTTCGTAACTTATTTAATCACATGTGCAATGGCCCTCACTTCACATAGACAATGGCAAAACCACATAGTGCATTGAATTGAAAATCGCGGGGAAACGAAACGAAATATTTCTTAAAAGAACAGGATTGATACATACCATTCTCGCAACGAATCCCAGAAAATCCAGAAAGACACATGCAAAAGAAATCGCTGCCACTGGTACTGCTAACACATGTGCCACCATTCGTACAAGGGTAGGACTGACAAGGGCTTGGCCCTACAGGAATAGCTAGTAGAATATACGGTGGAATATTAATTAAAAATAACATGTCAAACTATAACGATATTATAAAATACAGTCCTATTTCCAGAATTTCATTCAGAGATTTGTTTACAAATCTATATTCAGGCTCAAGCAAGTCTAAAAATACTGAATCAGAAGAATAAAATCATTTATAGTCATATATCCATTTACATATAGATTGTTAGGGTCAACAAGACAAATGTTTCTGAGACGCAACTGATGTTTTACACCACTATCGTGTTCTATCTATCATTTATAGTCATATATCCATTTACATATATACTGTAAGGGTCAACAAGACAAATGTTTCTGAGACGCAACTGATGTTTTACACCACTATCGTGTTGTACGCAGGGTTGATAACCAATAATACATTACAATTCCGGAGAAATGTGTTTTTGGCCGATTCATTGCTAACAACGAGGTACATTTCATATCTCTATGACGCCAGTAAATATTGCTCGATACAATTTATATCTCAGTCAGGAATTGATTTCAAGACAGTAATGCTGTAATCGCTGTCAATCTTGAACATAAATTTAATATTCGTAAAACAATTTCTATCTTACGAGATTGGCAGTTTAGTCCTTCCCAACCATTATCACAAACACAAAAATATGATATCATTTCTGGAGACGAACATGAACCATGTTGACAAGGACCACTAGAACACGGGTTGTCAGGAGCCATATCTGAAATGTAAAATATGTAAAAGCATATGATAATGATTGAGTAATTCAGGAATACATATAATTTGACACTACATACGTAGCACGTATAATTATAATTAACGTCATAATCATTACAGTAATTACCGAAATTCTTTACCTTCTTGACAGTGTACCCCTTGTTTACCAACTGAACATATACAGAAATAAGCAGAATAGTCTGAACTGGCAACACATGTGGAATCACCAACACACGGCGTGGATCTACAAGGATCTGGTCCAACAGGTGGATGCGGTGATGTAGGAGGACCAACAGGTGAAACTGAAAACAATACAATTTTTATAGCGTTTAGTGTAAAACATATGACTAAAGTCATGTACAAAACTGTTCATTCCATCGTCATTTGCGTTACATCTGGATAATCATTGCATGGATACTATTCCAATAACGAGTAAAATCATATTGATGCTTACATGGAATTAACCCGAATGGCCTTCGTCTTGGAATTCAAAGATATGGCGTTTCGTACACGCACGCATACCATATATGGGGTGTACGTAAACTTGTACGCCAGATATTGTGCTTGTTGATGTACCAAATGATGTACCAAAAAATAAATTTCCCTTTTACTGAATATTACTAGACCCGTGTCTCGCTACTTCCGGGAAATTGCTCTATATCATGCCTATAATCTATTTCCAAAACAATTACACTGTAAAACGACGTACATTGCATACAAGGTTCAATAAGGCAATGCTGTATTTCCGAAATCACATTTTTGGCAGGGCAATGCACAAACATTGCAATCACTATGAGTGAGATAATGCGTTATTCTGTCAGTTGGAGATGTTTCCGTTTTTCAATATAAACTTCTAAAATGCAGCAGTTCTTTGGATCTGAAGATTTGCATGTATGTAGATCGGCCAAAAAATCTGACTATTACTCAGAATAATAGATTTTATTTTATGAATGATTTAAATTGTAATGTAATTTTTGTAACTATACAAATATAGGCAAAATATGCCTAACTTACGTATTTCGCAGTTTGTGCCTTCCCATCCGTTCTGGCACTGGCAGAAATAAGCACCTCCTCGTGGATCATTGATACATGTCCCTCTCGACTGACATGGATTAGAGGAACAAGGGGTGGAAATCGCTGAAAACAAAATAAATCATTAATTATAACATCGTGTGCTGGCCATTATTAAAACATCGTATTCTCATTGGTCGATCGGTACCACGTGCAGCCCTGTTTTTTGAAGATAACTGTATAGTGCTTGCGATCAGTGTACAAATGGACGAACATCTGTGTGCGACTTGTCAATATTCATTGTTTTTTATTTTTTTGTGGAGATCGTTTGTACAATAACTCTATCACTTAAGAAATCCTGGCCAATTTCATCTGGGCATTTTCGAATCTTTGCATGTTGTTTAATCGTAAAGGCTTATGCTTAAAATGCAAGAGTAAACGACGCGCTCACCACCAGCACAATAATTTGTTGAAATGAATTTACTTGCAAATAAAGTTTCACAACATTGTATGACAATGTAAAGCTATGACGTCATAGTGGTGATTTATAACTATACTATAATGAGCACTGTGTCGTCTTCTATTTCATAATTCATCAGTGTATATTGGTCTTTGTGATATATAAATAACAGACTGCTACAACAACATATCAATTCAACGTTTTGCATAATATTTAACGCTTCTTTAAAACAGATAAAACGTACGCATCATATGTCGTTTTTATATTTGCGTTTGATGAGTATAATGGAATTAACCCCCTAGTCCCCAGAATATAATGTATCTCGTTTTAATCTTTGGTTAGCTTCAACACTGTCATCGCCTAAGACATAATTATTTAATTTAAAAAAACAAAATAAAATACGACATGCTACTATATTCATAATGTATATAAATGAATGAATGAACGAATACCTTCTTCACATATTTGTCCAGTCCACCCATCACTACAAATACATTGGATACCAGATAAACTTGCAATACATATACCACCATGAGTACAGGGCGAAGGCGTACATGATTCGATGATGACTAGACCAATACAAATAATACAGTTATTATGTCATTAACCTGGAGGCAGTGAGCTTTATAGTTGCCCTAATTATATATTTCTATTTATGCATTACAATTATACTCAATACCTACCATGGGTAATGGTATACAATGATTACGGAATAACACTTCCGTACACTGTTTTGCTTATTACAACAATATTAGTATTTAATGTAAACATGACACGATTAGTATAAGATTAATTTGGTGATAAAATTTGTAAGAAATTTCTCGTTAATTTATAAAATTGTGGGGTCTATTTGTACAACGAACTTTTGTTCATTCTGCAATGGACCTGAGTGCTGATATGCTCATCTGCAGCATTTGATTTGACCCATATGGCAACCAACGGTGAAATACTTGTATATCATAAACAATGTATTATACAATCTCGTAATAAAATTGCAATACCACGATACGTGAAATTAATGAGCGCGTCATTTATAACATGACACTCCCGATATAGTTTTTGCGTCGGACGTCAACATCCTACAGTACACTGAAACACAAATTCAGTTTTACAATGCATATGATTGATTACATAAATTATAAACATTCAACTTTTTAGCCAAACTAAACTAAACTAGACCGAAATTCTGCATATATATATCTATGTTTACCTGTTTCACAGTTCATTCCTGTATATCCGTCTCTGCACATACATCTATGGGAGTTTACGTCATCAATACAAGTACCACCGTGTTGACATGGGTTATGTTGATAGCATTCGTTGATATCTGAAATATCAAGACAAAAGATAAATTAATATACTCCTATCGTTATCAATAGACACAACACATCAAACGATTCCTTGTTCTTAGTCAGTATTTAGAATATGACCATAAACCTGCTTATGCCCGGTAATCGATGTAAACAAATCACCAATATATTATTAGAATAATAATTTCTGGACAATCAAAAAGCATGAAATATATGGTGTTATATTTCTAATTGTATGCATGCATGCACATTTTAAAACGAGAGTGTTCATTGGTTCATATGAAATAAATTTCTTACTTATTTGACAGTTTCCACCAGTAAATCCAGAAGCACACATACAGCGATAACCATCCTGTACATCTATGCATTGTATTGCATTCTGACAGGGATTAGATAAACACTCATTTATATCTACAAGACACAAAACAAATGAATAAAGCTTACATGGCAAGTGTTAACTGTATGTGAAAGATTATACAAGTTCTACCTGTATGTGTAAGATTATTTTTAAAGCTTGCACGTTCCAAAAATGTAATTTATGGGTGACAATCTTGATTACCTGACGCTGAATGGGTGAATTATTGTATATGATCCACTCATCACTATACACATTTGACACAAAAAATGAACGTTATATTATGTATTGATTAAAATCGATGCGTTCCAAATGCTGGTACTGTCTTACCTATTTGACAAAGTGTGCCCTCAAATCCAGATGCACATTGACATGCGTAATTATTCATACCCGAGATACACGTAGCACCATTGTAGCATGGACCACTATCACAGTAGTTAATCACTATGAGAATGAGAAACACGAATTTAAAATACCCCAGATGAAAAACGTAATAATGAATAGTGTATGTAAATCAGCAGAATATTTTTGTTCTAGTCAATGGTGGTTATGGTTGTAAACTATGAGGTTAGTACGAGATACCTCAAAGTATGCACGAAGACAGTACAGCTGGAGTATCGACCGACGCGCATTGGAGGTCGATGCGCGGCGTACTGTCTGAGTGCATACTTTGAGGTATCCTCATAATAATCTTATTATTATACATCTTTTCCTTCCAAAGATACATCATGGGAATGCCGAAATCCAAAACGTTTAGAACAGAATCAGCGAACTTTGTGTGGAGTCCGGTCAAATCCTGATGGCAGCTATGTTTGTTTTTATTGTCAGAGAACGCTTACGCCATACTCATTCCATATTTGGAATTCGCATTTCTTTATATGGTAGGATGAAAATACCCCGTAAAATACCGGAAAATTACGACACGCAGTAACTTATGGCATTACGGTGACAGATGTATAATAATATTAAATGCTTAATCACTTATCATATATAAATACATACGTTGATAGCGTATGACGAAATATTTAAGAAAACGAACAAATACTACTGAGTCATACCTTCATTACATCTATCGCCGGTCAATCCAGCGGAGCAGACACATGTGTATGCATTGGTCCCAGTATCAATGCAACTACCACCATTCAAACATGGATTTCTTTCGCAGTCGTCCGCATCTATACAAATCACAATAAAACAATGTTATTTTCTGTCTGTATTCAGATATATCAATCCATCAACCAATCAATCAATCAATCAATCCATCCACCAATCAATCAATCATATGTTATATGTCTACGTACAAGCAAAGGAGCGGAATTGAACTAACTATCATTTCTTCTATATCTCACAGCATGTAACCGTAAACGAATTCATGTATACGACCTAGTTAGTTTATTTATGGAAATATACTTGTACAACAATCTAAGGTAATATTAAGACGAGGTCACATTCATCCAACACAGTAATATACATGTATATCACTATGTATGCATAAGATTTGCATTTAAGCAACATACCAAATCTAATTTAATAAAAACAGACATTTTTTTTTACAAAATTCATTTTTAAAAACGTCGTAATAAATTACACTTGTGGCTTTCAGAAAACAACTGCAAATTACTAATACAATAATCAAAGATATTTCAGTGTGTCGCATATAAGAACACTTGCCTTGGTTACATGATTGCCCAGTCCATCCAGTTTCACATACACACGTGTAAAACACGATACTACTAACACACTGTCCGTTCTGACATGGTCCACTATTACATGGATCAATTCCTAATCAAATAAGAACGAATTAATACCGTACCGTAATTAATTATGAATGGCACAGTAAGCATTAATTAAGTGTGGTGTAATGTCAGTGTGTACATTCTATGGCATTTCACAATTGTAACTTTAATTTGGAATATAATGTTAATTCAATGCGATAAAAGTAAATCGTAAATCTTAATTAAAACAGCGGCTTACTAGTTTCGCAGTTTTCCCCCGTATATTCTGCTTGACAATGACATGAATATTCATCGATGAGGTCTTCGCAGTAACCATGGAGACATGGGTCAGGGTTACAATCGTTAATGTCTGTATACAACAACGAACAGAGCCAGAAACACACAAATCAATATACTTTCGTGTCAACCTCACATATCGCAAGCTAATAACAACAATACCAATGATAACTGAATATACTTTAATATGTATTACCATTTCTTATTTTGTGTTGATATTTCCTTACCTTCCTCACAGTAAAATCCTTCATATCCAGGTGCACATATGCATATATGAGCATTGACGTCATCGATGCATGTTCCGCCATTTAAACATGTAGTAGGAGTACAGTCGTCTTGATCTGCAGAATATATACATGTACCATATAATGTAATTACCTTATTGGTAGTTTTAATGTCAATTTACAGATGTGAAATCGAGTGTAATGTTAGTATACAGCTCCTTAAGCTAGGTAATGTCGAACGTATTTGGAGGCTAACTATAAACACTTGGCAGATCCCGTGCAGGAGGACCTATGTAGGGATGTGAAAGCGACCACAATAGGAAGTGGAAGCGTAAACTTCATATATAAGATATGGGATTGTTAATTTTCATGCGCTGAAGAGTCAATATCATTTCAATTATTATTAAAAATCAACATCACCTTCTTCGCAGTCATGCCCAGTAAAACCAGCATCGCATATACAAGTGTATGTTCTAGCTTCATTGATACAAACACCATTCTGACACGGACCACTCTCACAATAATCAATTACTGAAGGAGTGAATGAACAGTAAATTGTCAATTATTGTACATTTCTCAAATGAAAAGTAACTATTAAAACACAATGTGTGTTTGTGAATTATCATTCCTGACAACAAATTGTGGTAAACATACTTGTTTCACATAACTGTCCTGTGTTACCATCGGAGCAAATACATCTGAATGCATTGGCACCCATGTCATAGCATGTAGCCCCATTCTTACACGGTTCAGAATCACAATCATTGATGTCTGAAAGAGACAGAAACAAGATTCCACAGATAATAATCAGTGAACGCATGTGACTGTGACATTAATAGACTCTATGTGGTTGCAGTTATTAAGTTATTATCCATAAAACACAAACCAGTTAGCTCATTTTTTGTAAATTAATTACTGATCAGTAGTGTTCTCTTTAAATGGCTGACTTATTTTGTGATTAACTTGATTGAATTAAGAATTGTACTATTTTATATAAAATATGTGAACTTGACATGTATAATCATATTTTACTACAGAATCCATAAAACAATAAACAGCAATTTTGTTCTATTTTTGAGACTTTTCTCTTCCTAAATACAATACCTTGGTCACAGTATCTCCCTGTCCAACCACCATCACACACACATGTAAATAAATTATCACCATCTACACACGTGCCCCCGTGCAAGCAGAGATTTCTTACGCAGTCGTCGATATCTAATAATAAAACCAAACAAATGACATTCACTATGTGTTTCACAATTTATTTGAATATGTACGGAGAAACTGTAGTTATGTTCCACACAGACACAATTAGTGATTGTTAGCACAGACTGTTGACATGCTTTATTGCGTTAATGCATCATGTACAAATACTCACTAGTTTCACATTTATCTCCAGTCCACCCTTGTTTGCATGCACATGTGTAGGAATTGATAGCACTTATGCAAGTACTATCATGTAGGCAAGGTTCACTCTCGCATAGATCAATTACTGTAACAGAGAATATACAAAAATATCGTGTTTTTGCAATAAAAATGGCATACATTTTGTTCTTTATTGTTTAACAGTGTTGCTCACAACCTCATATTATTAATTATATATCAATAAATACATATGAAATACCCGAAACTTCTATTAAAAATGTCGATTAAATGTTTCTCACATTTGAAGTTGAAGTATTCAAAAAGGCGATACCTGTTTCACAACTGTGTCCAGTAAATCCTGTTTCACACAAACACTCATACGCATTTGTTCCTATGTCATAACACTGTCCGCCATTCATACACGGGTTAGAACCACAATCATCAACATCTGAGAAAAGAAAACAAGTCATTATAACATTACTATTATAAGATCACATCAAAATAATATCCGACGACACTCACAAATACCAGGTAAATCTAGCATACGTCTAGTAATTTCCGTATTTTTAATAAATTTGAAATATACGATATACCTTGTTCACAAAATGTTCCGGTCCATCCAATAAGACACTGACAGGTAAAGGTATCCACTTCGTCAATACATGCACCATTATTTTTGCATGGAGCGGACTCGCATTCATTAATTTCTGGCCGTTAAATGATATATGACAATAGTACGTTAGTTTCCTGATATCATTCACGATATAGTAACGATTAACATGATTCACAACTTCTCAAAATGTCGATTACAATATTATGCATTTGTTCACTGTATTCAATATGTTTTTTCTAAATACATATAGGCATGTTCGATGGTACTTTACCTATTTCACAAGTATCTCCTTCCCAACCAGATGTACACACGCATATAATTTCACCTCTTACATTTTCATGACAGGTCCCACCATTATTACATGGACCACTGCTACAGGGGTCAGGAGCTGTTGACAATATTTGTTAACGTGGTCCGTTAAAGTTGATATGCATTGAAGTCATGTTTGGGACAATATTAGTATTACAATTTAAAACATATTGGACCATTCAATCAAATACGAAAACAATTTAATAGCAAGCTATAGTACAGGATATGTGATAGTAGCTAGCATTATATTCAGAGTGTTTTTGCAATCACCACATTTGATCAATTGAACACCAGCAGTTGGGAATTTGTAGCTGATAATACAAACGTTTACGTATTTATACCTTTTTCGCAATGCTGTCCGGAATAGTCATCCTTACAGATACATGTATATTGTCCACTGCTATTTGGCACACATACACCACCATTTAAACACGGATCTGGGTCACAGCCTGTTCCATCTACGTTAAGCAGAAAAGAATGTTATGGCGGAGAAACATTTATAACATATTCAGAGCATCTCAAACGGCTGACTGAAAAAAATAATGAATATCGAGCCAACAATTAGTTATTAAATATATTTCAAATATTTTATCTATCTAAGTATGTTAATGTAAATAATGTACACAACTATGTCAATGCACCAACAAACGTTTGTTATACCTTCCTCACAATACGTCCCAGAAAAGCCATCTTGACATATACACTGGAATGCATTATTATCATCAATACAGATACCATTATTAAGACATGGCTGACTGACACACTCATTAATACCTAATAACAACAAACAAAGAAAACACTTGTTAGTATGATAGACTTCAATACCTCAGCTCGCACAACTTGGTACGAATTGTTCCTAATGCCTTGTTCATGATACGAGTAAATAATTTTGAAAGTCTTCACAATCTCTGCTTGATTCGACGACAAACAACTACTTACTTTCTTCACAGCGTTCACCAGTATAACCTGGCTGACATATGCATACATAATCATCGCCAGCATTAATACAGTTGATGTCATTTACACAAGGGTTACTATCACATGGATCAGATGCTGTAAACCAAAAAAGGCAAATTTACAATCCACCAGACATTAGACGCACATATACAAACGCACCGTCTTTTAAACACAGATTCCGACAAACTGCTATTATATTCTTACTTAGTATTAATAACACATTGCTATGACTTTTTTTCACTTGTACCATTGAAGGAATGTAATAATGTCTAGTATTTAAAGTTGAAATAAAATGGGTGTAACAGTACTACATGTTTATGACAACTTATTTTTTTAATCATTTTAAGCATATAACACACAAAACCATAGGTTCAAAGCCCCATTGATGAATACAATTAATGTGTTTAACCTTGTGTTTCTAAACTTACCCGTATTCTCACAATACTGTCCGTCGTATCCATCAGCACAAAAGCACATAAATACGTTTGTACCAGTGTCTGCGCATATACCGTTATTGAGACATGGATTGGGATTACAGTCATCTTCATCTACGGAAAGTTTCAATTAATCAAACAATGCAAAACAACGTATGATTACTATATTCGCAACACAATTATATGACGTGTTTTCAAGTTAGCTGGGTATTATAAAAACAAAATATAAACAAATTTTCGAATTATTCTTAGGTTTATACTATGTTTTTAAATTCACGATGTTGATCACAAAACCAGCATAAAATAAACTATTCTTTACTCAAAACACAAGTTCAATATCAGTTAAAATGGTGATTTGTGAACCATTTATGAAAAAAGATCTCAATATACCTAAAAAGTTCGTTTCGTTACATTGTCAAGAATTATTTGCATATTCTGATGATTACTATGAATTCTCTTTCTCCAAACTAATTTTTCGTGATGGAGGAAAAAAACATAAAGTTGATGACATCAAATTCAATAATTATGTTAAACGTACAACATTGTAATAAATGTAAATCATTATCTCAAATGCCTGCATTCTACCTTACCTTGTTGACAGTAATCACCCGTGAATCCTGATGGACATATACATGTAAATCCATCAATCTCGTCAACACAAACACCATCATGCAAACATGGGTTTGGCAAACAGTCATTTATATCTAAAATAGAATAGATCATAAGAGTTCAGACTACCCTATATAAAATTTGCTTCTAGATTTGTTAGTGCACAATTTCAGCAATTGACTAACCTGTTCTTTTCACCTTCGGCTATCTAGTGTTAACTTGATATCCCACTAAAAGGATTTGATTTTAACATCTGTCATAGAAAAGCTTGCACTTTATGAAACGAATATTGTATTGTAGGACACGCAGCTGTAGCATGACCGTTTAATCGGTTCATATGAGAGATTCAACACTTCATTTCTTTTAACTGCCGACAAGACACTATTACCATGTACACATTTTAAAGAATATTTGTCGTCGTATGGGTGCGTTCAAATCAGATTCTTGTTTCATTGAGTTGTTTATGTACGAAGGCAGTACGATGATCGTATCGACCGACGCATAGTCTAGATGTATGTAGATCATTATACATCTTGTTTCTGCTTGTGGTAATAAATATTGAGAGATTAATGCCTAAAATTACAACGAAGCACTTCTTAAGCTTTGTTAACGTTGGCCTAATTGATGAGAATATATTTGCATCACCAGCAATTCTGTATCCAATATAAACAAAGGAATCTGAGTCAATGTTGGTGACATAGATTACCCCGAATAAAGAAAAATTCGTATGTTCGAATACGTGTTGACAAGTTACAGCACAAGCAGATACAAAACGGCAAATTCAATTGTTGTCAGTCTTAATTAAATCTTACTTTCGTCACACTGTTGACCTGTATATCCCGATTCACATATACATAGATAATTAGAAGCACTCTTTAAACAGGTTGCTCCATTTTTGCACGGAAAACTCGTACATGGATTGACTAATAATAGAAAAGTAATCAGTATTATTATAAGTACATTGGATGATGCACTTTAATGTCGTTCAAATCAGTTAACAATATACAAAAAACTGTAACATATTTGTTAAACTCAACACTCACATGTTTCGCAAATATCTCCTTCATATCCATCTTTACATAGGCATAAAACATCATTAAATCCTCTATCAATACATGTACCATCGTTAAGACACGGATTGATGTCACAATTATACACATCTGCAAACAAGGAATTACAAACGGGATATCTTATTAACGCGATAATATACATAATCCAAATTAAATTCATCATCATAGGCCTTTAGCTCAGACACCTCGACACATCTGACATAATTCATAAATAGTAGTTCAGAAGAATCTGGTGGATTATATCAAGCAGAGAAACTTTCCGTGTTACATTGCTAGCACCAGTTGGTGTTAATACACATCCGCGGTTTGTATTCTACCAAACAAACTCATTTGCATCATTAATGTTTCAACTGACCGAGGCTTAGCGTATGTTTTGAAATGACAAAAAATATTAAAAAAATACCTTGTTCACAGAATTGTCCTGTGTAGCCCTGATCACATACACATGTGAAATCATTACTGCCATCACGACATATACCATGCTGACATGGGTTCGGATCACATTCATCTTTATCTTAAATTTGATTAAATACGTCAATATTACTAACATAAATCATATATTAGTTTTCTGTACAAAAAGATTCGATACGAATATTTGGAATAGATTAAGTAAACAGAACGAGATTTTTGTTCATACTTTCTGTGCAAATATCTCCAGTATATCCTGGTGCGCATATACAGACTGCGCCAACACTGGTACTGTGACACGTCCCACCATTGAAACATGGATTTGGGTCACAAAAGTCAATTTCTATGAAAAAGAAAAGGACATTGTACTTCACTGTTTGTATTCATATATATGCAATAACGAACATGTTTGTATAAGATTACATTAGAACATTTCACGAATTGTTGATTCAATTGCATTAAAAACCCAACCGCACAACATACACTTACGTTCAGTACAAATCTGTCCTTCAAAATCGTCAGTACATATACACAAATAGCCATTCAGCTGGTCAATGCACGTTCCGCCATTCAGGCATGGGACACTAGCACATTCGTTTATTTCTAATAAAGAGATGTTATATTCATACATTCAAATGAAACAAATCGAGGCATGTTAGCAGTTAACAGTGTTTAATTACATTGCAATATACAATAATTGTATATGGCAGTAAACACACTTCGTTTTAAAAACAATATTTAATCAATGAAATGATTAAACTATACATTTTTTAATTACTGGCAAGTATTTCAGAGCGCAAGTCAATATTTCAGAGCGCAAGTGTACTATAAATCATAACCCAGTGTAAGATTATGAACATGCATGATAAACACAATAATACAAACTAACCAAATATATCTGTGTCACATATTTAAGGTAGAAAGCTACCCAGCACCAACAATTCTCTTTTATCTTACAGTGTCACAATGATGACGAAAATGAAATTAAAATATGGCGTTACTCTAGAGATGTACAAAATAGGCGACACGTATGTGTTAGAGCTGTTTATCATTGTTTTCTATGGCAAGGATATATCTCAAAATATTGACCGATAACAAGATATATAGTGTTGTACCATACACATCATTACAAAATTTATATTATTTTTAGTGGATTGTTAATTACAAACCTCTGTTGTCGATGGACAATGCCTCAATTTTATGCATATCATTTTACAGACAGTTAATTTGTACAGAAGTAACCTTAACATACCAGTTTCACAATGAATTCCGGTGTATCCTGCTTGGCAAACACAGCTGTAAGATCCACTTGCCCCATCAACACACACACCATTGTTTTGGCATGGTGCATTTTCACAGTCATCAACGTCTGTAAAATAAATGGCAACGCATCACATGATATACGGACTACAAATGAACATAAATATATATCTCACTACAAATTGCATCAACTGGCGAACAGTGCATATATGTATAACAGTGATCCATTATGTTACTCACCTTGCTCACAATATTTTCCAGTATATCCAGTACTACATATGCACATGAAGTCATCGATACTATCAATACATGTACCACGGTGTAAACACGGGTCTGGACTGCAATCATCGACATCTGAGAAGAAATAGAAATAAGCAATACATCTAAATTGTATTTGTTCTAGAGTGGGAAGCTGGCATACCAAGTACACATGAAAATGAAGTTAGTAGACAAGATGTGATGTCATGGATACTAAACACACTCGGTTTCACATACGACACCCGGCAGATATAAACCGTAGTCATACTTGGCTTAGATTTAATTAAGGATTTTACTTACTTGTCTCGCAGTTATTCCCGGTGTAGCCATCGATACAGTCGCATACATATCCAGTTGTTGTACTGTGACATGAGCCGCCATTTACACACGGACTGGAGTCGCATGGAGTTGTCGCTTCTACATGATCAAACACGCGCACGTAAGTTATTGTAATATTGCCCAGTTAAAATAATTAACATTACCATACACAATAGGTTGTATTGATAGAAATTTATACATTACATTGTAGGAAAATTAATGTTGTTTGCTATGGACAAGTGGATATGTACCTTGTTCGCAGTTGTCCCCAGTATATCCATCAAGACAATTACACATATAACCATTGTCCATATCCAAGCACTGTGCGTTGTTATCGCAGGGATTACTGTCACATTCATTTATATCTGGAATTATAAGTTGTCATATGACATATTACTAACAATATTGTATATATTAGAATGCCACTTTCAAAACAATGAATTCGTTAAGTTAACACAACGTTGTATAATAGTACTGTCACAATTTTAATACACTGCAAATTATATGTAAAAACAACTTACTGACTTCACAGTGAGTTCCTGTGAAACCATCTGCGCAGACACACTGATACTGACTGGGTCCAGTATCAATACATATTCCACCATTATGGCATCGTGTGGGATCACATCCACTAACAACTGAAAGTAAAATGTGATTATATTTCTACACATGATACATGCCGATTAACTATACAATGTCACGACATATGCTAATTATACAGTACCTTCTTCACATAGATCTCCCATGTAACCCATTGGACATACGCAAACATATTCAGCAACACCATCAATACATGTACCTCCATTGTTACACGGGTTGGACGCACATTCATTTATATCTGGTAGAGAGAAGGCAAAATCAGGCAAACACGTGCTCACCGGAACTAGTGTACAATATGAAAGTGTCACAAAAACTCTGAAAGGACAGCCTCACAGAAATGGTCTGATGATTTGATTAAAATCATGGACACTTGCTGCTACGTATTTGCTAGATTGCAGGCTTCTTTTTTCAACTTTGTTATTATAGCTCACGTGGGGAATATTTACTATCAAACATCAAAGAGCAACGAACTAGTGTCTGGTGGATGAAAAATTGAATTGCTTTTCACTCACTTTCTTCACATAAACCTCCCACAAAGCCCGCTGCACAGATACAAGTCACGCTATGATCCCCATCAATACACGTGCCACCATTTAGACAGGGGAATGACAAACATTCATCCAGTTCTGTATATCAAATAAATGAGTTGTATTAAATACTGCCAAGACGTAAATAATACATTTCTTTTAAATAGTTGATTACGCTCAAATAATGGTTTGTGTTGTATTTACCTTCTTGACATGTATCGCCACTATAACCATCTGAACATAAACATGTATACCCATTATCTTCATCCACACATACACCATTATTTTCACATGGATTACTTTCACATTCGTCAATATCTGATGCAAAAGATTATTACAGTCAATGATTATTATTATTATTTGACCTCTATACAAACGTGGCTATTGTTTTACGTTAATTGCCATCCAGGCGAATATCACAACAAGACTAGGGTTCTGATTCAATTGGACAATTGAGTTTGTATTGAATGAAAGTTTCAAACTACACAAATAAGATGATTGTATACTTACTGACTTCGCAATGTGTCCCTGTAAATCCATCTACACAGAGACACTGATATTGGCTGGGACCCGTATCAAGACATGTACCGCCATGATGACATCTTGTTGGATCACATCCACTAACAACTGTAAGTGTGTATGTATGTATGATTAGTGTGTGGCTAACTACAGCAACGCCAGCTTCATACATGAATATGACTAAAACCCAACCTTCCAAGGTGACGTTGGAATGTTGCCAATCTCAAATTTTCTGTTTGCCAATTATAGCCTAAAGGGGCTTGTTGATCTATTGCCATGAACATGATCTCAATTACTGAATGACCTTAACAGAAATATATTAACAAAATTTATTATATATTGTACCTTCTTCACAATGGTCCCCCATATATCCCATTGGACAGGCACAGACATATTTATTTATACCATCAAGACATGTACCACCATTATCACATGGACCGGATTGACACTCATCGATATCTGAATATGAGTTAAAGTAGAAGTCATTTATAAACAGAGAAAATAAAACGACGCATAAACATTAATACAATTATACACGTGGTAGCTTAAAGTTTCAAATGTCATTTAAAGTAAGTGAAATGTGACTTTAAGATAAATTGTCACAGAAAGCTGATTAAAAGACACTGATATTTGATTGATTAGAAATAACTTATAATATCTGAAAATAAACTCACTTTCTTCACATAAATCCCCCTTGAATCCAGCTGCACAGATACAAGTCACGCTGTGATCTCCATCAACACACGTGCCACCATTTAGACAGGGGAAAGACAAGCATTCATCAACTTCTGTGAATCAAATAATTAAGTTGTATTAACTTCACTGTAATTTGAATGTAAAATTTCTCTTAAAGTAATTCATGAAGATTATATAGAGGTTTATACTATATTTACCTTCTTCGCATGTATCGCCACTATAACCATCTGGACATGAACATGTATACCCATTATCTTCATCCACACATACACCATTATTTTCACATGGATTACTTTCACATTCGTCTATATCTGATGCAAATATATATTATATTGTCAGATCATCATTGCATGAAATGAATGTGAACGTTTATCCACAAACGTGGCTTTGATCTTAACGTTGATTCAACATCAATGCAGTCACAGCAACATATAGGGGTTCTGCGTCAAGCGGACATCTGGATTTATATTAAACACAACATACACATCTCAAACCATACAAATAAAGTATTTGTATACTTACTGACTTCGCAATGTGTTCCTGTAAATCCATCTACACAGAGACACTGATATTGACTGGGACCAGTATCAAGACATGTACCGCCATGATGACATCTCGTTGGGTCACATCCACTAACAACTGGAAATATATATAAGTATCTGTAGTTTATGATACTTTTTAGTACATACATATATAAATACATAAATTAGACTAATACACAACTTTTCCTGGCGACGTTGGGGAGTGAACTCTTTCTGTCTGTCTCAGCGCTGAACAACTAACATGTCACATTTCATAGTCAAATGAACATTTCGGTGCACAAAGCGGCATGCATATTAGCTCCTTACCAATGAACTGAATTATTGCATACAGTTTACATAAATAAATTAAAAAGTTGTAATCTAACTGCTATACCTTCTTCACAATAATCTCCCATAGATCCCATTGGACAGGCACACACGTACTTATTTATACCATCAAGACATGTACCACCATTAACACATGGACCAGATTCACATTCATCGATATCTGAATATATGACAGAATATAACAGTCATTTATGGATGTGGAAACTAAAACCATGCACACAATAATAACACGTAACACATGTTTTTCTATTAATGTATTGTGTCATTGACACTGTTGTGTTATTGATTGATTGATTAGAAATTATTTTTATTTGTGAATAAACTCACTTTCTTCACATAAACCTCCCATAAAACCCGCTGCACAGATACAAGTCACGCTATGATCTCCATCAATACACGTGCCACCATTTAGACAGGGTAATGACAAACATTCATCAAGTTCTGTAAATCAAATAAAGTTGTGTTAACTATTGCCAAGATACAAATCAAACAAAATGAGATCAAATGAGATGAGATAATGGTTTGTGTTGTATTTACCTTCTTCGCATGTATCGCCACTATAACCATCTGGACATGAACATGTATACCCATTATCTTCATCCACACATACACCATTATTTTCACATGGATTACTTTCACATTCGTCAATATCTGATGCAAATATATATTAAAGATCCTCAGCGATAATAAATATAATTGTTGTATGTCACGAAAATGCTTATTCTGTCTAATACACAGCATTATTGACCATTACAGTGACACTCAAATAATGAACACTGTGTTTACGTTAAAATGAAATTATCAAATGAAATCTTTGTTGATCGAAACCCACAATTAGTAGATGAGCGATGTAGATGGTCATGCACTTGTTAACACTTACTGACTTCGCAATGCGTTCCAGTAAATCCATCTACACAGAGACACTGATATTGACTTGGACCAGTCATCCAGACATGTACCGCCATGATGACATCTCGTTGGATCACAACCACTAACAACTGCAGTTAAACAAACATATCGGCAAAGATATATACACAACTTTAACACGGGTATAACTATATCACTACGTCTAATAATCATGAACATTATTACACAACCTTCCAGCGAAGAGTTGGAAAGTAGTAGTAGATTTGCACATGATCTGAAATATGGAAGATCAATTATATAAATAGATTAAGAAGTAGTTATACCTTCTTCACAGTGATCCCCCATATATCCCATTGGACAGGCACACACATACTTATTTATACCATCAAGACATGTACCACCATTAACACAAGGGTCGGATCCACATTCATCGATATCTGTATATAGCATAAAATTCACATGAAAACTAAGTACACGAACATGGCATTTGATAGTTCAATAAATTGTTAATTGTGTAATTGCTTGAAGTAATGTAAACATGTCAAACATACCATTACAAACTGATCAAAGCATGTTTGTAAAGATTAAACTTAATGCAATTTCAGCTACATGTGTATTTGTAATGCCAATTCACATATATGTTTAGAAAACTCACTTTCTTCGCATAAATCTCCCATAAATCCCACTGGACAGACACAAGTCACGCTGTGATCTCCATCAATACATGTACCACCATTTAGGCAAGGAAATGACAAACATTCATCCACACCTGTATAAACAATGTAAACATCATATTTAATTAGATTCAAGTTTCATTCATTTGAATATAAATAAATCCAATGATATATAAACTATATACAAACATACAAGACAGTAAAGTGGTAATGATAATGACGAGGGTAGTTTATGATTTTGGAAATATTTCATTTGAATGATTTGAACAAAATGATTATTAACAATATCTTGAACATGGATGCAATGGTTTGACGAGGATGCATAAATACAAAACCTTGGACAAGGTTCAAGGATACGTAGAAAAGTATGTGTGGCTAACAGTTTTCGACTCAAAAATGACAATTAACATGATTACAAGTTTTCCGAGGTGGAACCATAAAACACTGGCTAACAAGTTTTGAACAAAATAGACCATAACTAATAGGACAATGTACTTTCCTTCACCACAGTGAACACCTTCAAATCCACCAATACATATACAAGTATATTCATTGACATAATCCACACATATTCCATCATTTTGACATGGTCCCGATTCACACTCATCAATATCTAGAGTACAAGGACAAAATAAAAGAATACATAAAACGGCATGATTCAAATCATATAATTGTTGTCAGAAATTCAAAATAATATGTTTATGGCAATCATTCTCAATATGTTTTGTGCTCACAATATATGCTTAGTCTCACCTATTTCACAGTGTGGTCCTTCAAATCCGGCATCACAAACACAGATATAATCATTTGGATGTTGTTCAACACAAGTACCTCCATTCATACAAGGGTTCGGATCACATCCTTTCACCTCTTGAAAAGACAAATGACAGCAATACTATCATGCAAATATAATTATGACTACTGCTAACCCGGTACGCCTATATATAAAACAATGGTGTTGGTAAATGTATTTCAGAACAAAGACACCATTGTGTTATACACTATATCGGAATACCTGTTATTGATGTTTGACGACAGCCATGAATAAAAAAGTAATAAAAACATCAAATACTTGACAACTGACCTTCTTGGCACAAAATGCCCATATAATCAGTTGAACACATGCAAGTGAACTGATTAACACCATCAATACAAGTACCATCATTCAAGCATGGACCAGAAGCACATTCATCAATATCTGTGAAGTAGTTTTATATTGTCATTAAAATTGTTGTAGAGGATTAATTATTCGTAACATGAAAATTAGTAATCCTATATAGAGGGAATGCAGGACATATTTGTGATGTAACAGCATTCACATATTTCCAAATATGTCAATAAGGTAACCTACCTTCTTCACAATTTTGACCTTGATATCCCGGAGTACAAACACATACATACTCATTGAGTTGATCAAAACACATCCCATTGTGTTGACACGGTTCAGAGACACAATCGTCAATATCTAAAATTAGCGTAATAATAAAAGTTATAGCAATTGTTAGTACAAAAATATATGTTGTTCATTACTATTCAATATGTATTCTACACATCATGTCCTCGGCTTACGATCCTTTGATACTTAAATAGTTTTGTTTTCAGAATAGCGAATTAAAGATTTCTTACCGAGCTCACAATGTGTTCCTGTGTATCCGTCAGTACATGTGCATTCATATTGGTTAGGACCAGTGTCTTGACATGTTCCACCATGCTGGCAAGGATTAGGATCACATCCACTGACAACTGAAACAGCACATATTTTATTACATAACAGTTTAATAAAGAAGAAACATACACAACACATACTCAATGAATACTCCGAAGTATGGTGTTCATTAACTTATAAATGTTAATATCATAACATAATACAACTTACTTTCATCACATATTTCACCCATGAATCCGGATGGACATATACATGTGTATTCATCCAACCCATCAACACATTGACCACTATTATCACACGGCTCTGAAGCGCACTCATCAATGTCTACAATATAAACGGAAGGCTCATTAGTTAATAATTTACAACTAGGAACTATGGCATAGATCATGATACTCAAAATATTTATTACAACACATTTGTACTCACTAGTCCCACAATTACTGCCAGTGTACCCAGTAACGCATTTGCATGTATATTCACTGATGCCATCTACACAGGTCCCACCATGTTGGCATGGTCCACTGGTACATTCGTCAATGTCTGAAATTTAGAGATAAGTCAAATTGGTGAGGATGCGATGTTACCAACAAAACAATCTGATTCTCAGCACACACAATACATGTAATATATTACAATAGTTTAAAGGGCGTGGTCGTCGCGCTGCGCATGCGCGATATATGGGTCTCATATAAACAAAGAAGGCGATTTTTAATGTAGCGCACACCAACTAGTACAAACTGAGAGCTTACTCAGTATTTTGTTTTGGTGTTTAGAAGGCATCGAAGGAGTCAGCGTGGTAATTAGTGCAAGTGGCGCCCAGTGCAAAAATCGTACTCGTGATTTCATTAGAAACGCGCATTGGATTGTGGGAAAATCTATGTTTATCAACACAAATGTCGTACATGCGAGGCGCGACGACTACCACCCTTTAATACTCACTTTCTTCACAGTTTGTTCCCATGAAACCAGCGGAGCAGATACATGTATACATTTCATCACCATCAATGCAAGTACCATCATTTTGACAGGGTTGACTAACACATTCATCAATATCGGGCGACTCTGTTTGAGGAACTAGTAATCACATGATATATATATATATATATATACTCATTAATACGTTAATACCAATATGAGAGACTTTCTTTTTACGCGGAAAATATAGTTTGATATTCTTTCTCATTTATCAAATAGCACAGCCTTAAGAGGAATATGATTTTAAAATTGTCCATAGGCAATCGAAGCAAACATGAACGAGCATATTACAAGATATGAGATATGAAGGAATATAGCAAACCTTCTTGGCAAACATCACCCATAAATCCATCAGGACAGATACAGTAATAACTATTAACTTCATCAACACATTCACCGCCATTTTGACAAGGGTCACTAGCACATTCATCAATATCTGAATTGCAAAAATGTTACCCACCCATCAATGTAAATCTATAATCTCATTGCATTGCTATAACGTTTGTCAATAAAGATCATAGATTGATAGCTAACGTCTTTTCCACTTTTGTGTAACTGGTGTAACTAGTTATTACAGCAACTAGATAAAATATTGTTAACCACAACATTGTCCATCCTATGTGTACAGAAACATAAATATAATATGAAATGTGTGACGTCTTCCCACCCAAAGAAGTTACAGTATGTATAGTATGATTGCTTACCACTTTCACAGTTTGTTCCAGTAAAACCGTCTTGACAACTACATGTATACATATTGTCTAAATCTTCACATACACCACCATTCATGCACGGTCCACTAATACATTCATTAAACGCTAGAAAGGGAAAATAATGCTGTAAACTGTAACTGCAAAGTACTAGAACTATTATACTAATATTAATTTATAGTTTTTCACTATATATTAATATTGTTCATGCCAGATAAACATTTGCTCACAATTGCATTTCACTTACCATCACATATTTCTCCAGACCACCCATCTGAACAATAACAAATGAACCCACTGTCTGTATCTTCATTCTGACATGTACCATCATTTAAACATGGTGAGGGAGTACAGAAATCTGTAGCTATACAACAATATAGTGCATACTATTTCAGAAAAAGATTTTTTTACAATCAGTAGCACACATTACCATTCTGCAATGACATTGTGTTACGTAAACTTTATCATTATGTAATACACAGGACGGCATAAACTAATAAAGTAATGCATAAATGACGGCACTTTGCGAGACTACAAATTCATATATGTGTTCATATAAACATGATTATCTAAAACGAGGTAAATGACACAATATTTCTTTATCTCATAAATTTATATTAATTTGCGTTTAAACAATTAATGCAGGATTCCAATAATTATAAAATTAGTTATTTGGTTTGACGATTCATGAATTATGACAAACGAAGCATTTTTGCAATACTGCATAATAACACATACTTACCAATAGGCACGTCACAATTATCTCCCATAAATCCATCAGGACATTCACATCTAAAACTATTCACCATATCAAAACATGTAGCAGTGGGTGGACAGGGAGAATCTGCACACTCGTCAATATCTGGAATTAAACAAAATTGTAAAAAATTATTATATATTGGCATAATTGTTTTCTGGTTCGACTTTTTAAATGCAGAAAAAGTAAGAATAATATAATTGTACTCACCAATTTCACAGTTAATTCCAGTGTACCCATCTATGCACTGACACGTGTATTCGTTGACATCGTTTATACATGTTGCACCATTCTGACATGGCACACTTAAACATTCATCAATATCTGGAAAGCAAACATAAAATTACATTATTCAATGAATCATTCTGTCTATCTAACACTCTAGTATCAGAACTAAAAAATGCTATATTTTTGATGCGCAGAAATATACCTACCTTGCTCACAGTCATTTCCAGTAAACCCGCCAGCACATGAACATGAATACATATTATCACCGTCTGCACATGTACCTCCATTCTGACAGGGTGCACTTGTACACTCATGAACAATAATCGCTGTGAGAAAATACATTTGACATAAAAGTTGTTTTTGTAAATGCATGTAAATAAATGCAATTGAAGATGCTCTCTGAAATGTGTGATTCATTACATCCTTGCACTGAACCCTGAAATGTTCACTGTTGTTTAAAATGATAGCTACTAACAATGTTTATATTACCTTGTTCGCAATTTACTCCAGTAAATCCAGCAAGACAATCACATGTGTAGATACCTTCAGCGTCATTACATGTGCCAGCATTTTGACAAGGATTGCTCTCGCACGCATTGACACCAATCACTATACAAAGGGAACATTTACAATAATATTAGTAATTTATATAATTTTGTTTGTCATTTATGTTTAATGTTGAGCAATTGCTACTTACCTTCTTCACACATTACTCCCATAAAACCGTCAGGACAGATACAGTAGTAACCATTCACTTGATCAACACATTGTCCGCCATTTTGACAAGGACCACTGGCACATTCGTCGACATCTGAATAAAAAACAAATATTGTAATATTTGTAACGAACCCATACACAAATTTAAAACGAGTGGTTTGGTTTCTCACTGTGGATATGTCCCCACATAATAAATGAAAGAAAGCGTCGATTACGGTACATATTTCACTCTTGAGACAAATTTCTTATCATGACAACCAAACGTTTAATTAATTCTTCATTTCATTTACTGATGTGTATGTGTTGGTCACTTACCTATCTCACAGTTTGTTCCTGTAAACCCATCTCGACATATACATGTGTATGTGTTGATCACTTACCTATCTCACAGTTTGTTCCTGTAAACCCATCTCGACATATACATGTGTATGTGTTGGTCACTTACCTATCTCACAGTTTGTTCCTGTAAACCCATCTCGACATATACATGTGTATGTGTTGATCACTTACCTATCTCACAGTTTGTTCCTGTAAACCCATCTCGACATATACATGTGTATGTGTTGATCCCTTACCTATCTCACAGTTTGTTCCTGTAAACCCATCTCGACATATACATGTGTATGTATCATCACCATCTTCGCAAGTTCCGCCGTTTTGACAGGGTCCAGTAAAACATGTGTCATATTCTGAATAACAAAATCAACATATGTTTAATTTAAAGTGTCCCGTTATGTTGCCATGTAGCTAGAGTGAAATATTATGAACACTATTCTGTACCTGTACACTGGTCGCCATACCAACCGTTGTCACAATAGCACTGATAACCTGGGTCCGACTCTGTGTTGCTACATGTACCGCCATTTTGACACGGTGACTGATCAGCACACGCATCATTAACTGTGAACCAGAAAGGGTAACAAACACGTATCACAAAGACTTATTCATGTGATTATTTTTCTTGTACACAATACAAATAAACACTGTTCAGAATATATTGTACAATAACACATACATACCAATAGGCACGTCACAATTATCTCCCATGAATCCATCAGGACATTCACATCTAAAACTATTCACCATATCAAAACATGTAGCAGTGGGTGGACAGGGAGTACTTGCACACTCATCAATGTCTAGATGAAAAATAAAATGCTATATCAAATGATAAGATAACCATTATGTAACTATGGTTCACTAACCAAAGAATAAATAATTGATTTAAAGCAGCAAGTGTCGCCTAAAACCAAAATAGTCAAATCATCACGAACATGTTAAACCGTCTCTATATGAAGTACTTAACATGAAAATGGCATTAACGCTCAAATGCTAACAAAAATAACACCATTTTGCTTTTAAAATCTTGTATTTTGCATGGGATTACATTTAATATTGCATAATTAAAGATAAAGATTACTCACCCACTTCACAGTTAATTCCAGTGTAGCCATCAATACACCAACACGTGTATTTGTTCACATCATCTATACATGTTGCACCATTCTGACAAGGCAGACTTGCACACTCAATAATATCTGGAAAATCATGGCATTTGTTATCGCGAGAAAAGAACAAACAAATAAGTAAGGATGTTTGGCAAGACAACTAATATATGACAAAAAAACAATATTTATGAAATGTACCTTCATTGCATATTTCTCCTGTGTATCCAGCTGCACATTCACAGGTAAACATATCATCGCCATCAAGACAGGTTGCCCCGTTCATACAAGGTGCACTATCACACTCATTTGTTACAGTAAGCTCTGTGAAGTTGAATACAAACCGCGTCATAATTGCGCGAAATTTGTTCACTCGCAACGATTGGTAATTGCAGTCGCTTCTTTGTAAAGTTGACCTAATCTAAACGTCGTTATTGGCTTGCAAGGATCAACAACTACATTGTTGCAATTGTTCTTACTAGTACATTGCACTATAAAAGAAATCACGTGGTCAGCGTGAAAATAGTTTATTTAGAATGTACTGTTTCCTCATGGGTACATGTACGTTGCAGAATGGGATGAAATTTCTGAATATTCCTTATTCAAATTTGACCGGTATCTGTGTCTTATATGGGGAAGAACAGCACCTCGTGTTGCACACATTCTTCTTCAGCGTTTTCGCTATGAAACGTTGCAGTTAAAGCGGAAGGGTCGTCACTTGAGTGACAAGCGACGATAACAACACACGCTAAGAACGCAAAGGCTCATGGGTAGACTCGTGTTTGTAGACAATGACACGCTATGGCCATCTGACGCATGCGCAGTTGACGACTCCCCGATATAACGATATAATGGTGACAATGACAGCAGTGATGATATAACAAGCAGAGTAATTACTGCTGTTGCCGGAAAATGGGACTGATAATAAATTAAATTCTATGTATGTTCAAAATTCATATGATATGAAAACCAATTGCTGTCCGTGAAGTTACTTATTCACAACATGGCATCACCCATCATCAAATGTTGTTTATCATGCTGGGCGCCTGGCAGACTGTTTTGATAGTACAAAATGTATAGCAACATTTAGAACACGTCAGTTTTGCAATCGAAGCAACTGCAATTACCAACCGGCTGGAGTGAGCAAATTTAACGTAATTATTATGTCGGTTGTAATAGTGTGCATTCCGCGTCAAATCAAAACGTTGCCCATATTGAGAATAATAATATTATTATATAATAATAAGTATTTAGGTTGTTATAAACATAGCGACATTACACTACCTTCTTCACAATGTATTCCCATGAAGCCAGCAGGACATTCACATGTATACATATTATCACCTTCGACACAAGTGCCCCCATTTTGACAAGGTTGACTCTCACAGGCAAGTAAGGCACCAGTTGCTTCCATCGCTACAATTTAATGAGCAAGAACAAATATTATGATAAAAATATAGTAATAAATCAACATAATTTAAAAACAATATCAACATAATACATTCAACTTACCTTCTTCACAATGTGTTCCCATGAAGCCAGCAGGACATTCACAAGTATACATATTATCACCTTCGACACAAGTGCCACCATTTTGACAAGGTGTACTCTCACAGGTAAGTTGAGTACCAGTTGCTTCAATCGCTACAGTTTGATTAGCAAAAACAAATATTATGATAAAAATATGGTAATAAATCAACATAATTTAAAAACAATATCAACATAATATATTCAACTCACCTTCTTCACAATGTGTTCCCATGAAGCCGGCAGGACATTCACATGTATACATATTATCACCTTCGACACAAGTGCCACCATTTTGACAAGGTTGACTCTCACAGGCAAGTTGAGCACCAGTTGCTTCAATCGCTACAATTTAATGAGAAAGAACAAATATTATGATAACAATATGGTAATAAATCAACATAATTTAAAAACAATATCAACATAATACATTCAAGTTACCTTCTTCACAATGTGTTCCCATGAAGCCAGCAGGGCATTCACATGTATACATATTATCACCTTCAACACAAATGCCACCATTTTGACAAGGTTGACTCTCACAGGTAAGTTGAGCACCAGTTGTTTCAATTGCTACAATTTAATTAGCAAGAACAACAATTATGATACAAATATGGTGATAAATTAAAATTTAAAAACAACAACAATATATCACATTTGGCTCACCTTCTTCACAATGTGTTCCCATGAAGCCAGCAGGACATTCACATGTATACATATTATCACCTTCAACACAAGTGCCACCATTTTGACAAGGTTGACTCTCACAGGCAAGTTGAGCACCAGTTGCTTCAATCGCTACAATTTAATTAGCAAGAACAAATATTATGATAACAATATGGTAATAAATCAGCATAATTTAAAAACAATATTAACATAAT